TATATGAAGTGATCACAATATTTTAAATGAACAAAGCCAGCCTGTCCTGTTCTTTTGTTTATAATAATTGCAGTACAGTACAGAGAGTGTGCATTCCAAGCAGCTCGGTCCGCAGTTTTGAAAAAGTCTGGCACAAACCGCAGACTTGTGTGAAAGACAGCCCAGGGTCGGCTCGGACTCTGAGGCGCCCTGTCTGTCAGTCATCGCCGGTTTCTGCCAAATGCTTAATAAAATTATTAATGCAAGTGGTATTCAGTTTGTAAAGGAAAAAGTATATAATTATAGTTTCAAAGTGAAATGTTTACACTAGAGGAGATATATGCATTTAGAAACTACTTTAACTCAAACAAAAGGACAAAAGTAAGTTTTGAATATTGTTGACTTTTTTAATAAACTGTATGGCTGTATGTAATATGTACATTGTGACGTATGATAGTGATGTAGGATGTACATTATAACAGAGGAGGAGAAGTGTCTGTGTCTGCAACTCGCTTCCCTTCGTTGTTTTTTGTTGTTGTTGTTGTTGTTATTGTTGTTGATTTAAAAGTTACAGCTTGTTTGTGAATGTCACGTCTCAAGTAGCCACAATTAGTTGTTGCTGAACATGGTGTTTATTTTATTAAAGCAGATTTAAATTTAAACCGTGCATTTAAAACAGTGAAAATAAGGTCAATTAGCTGAATTACAACTACATTCATAATGCTGATACTAAGTTGTTTTCAGATGTCCTGAACTTGTAAAAAAATCAACTCTTTGTGAGTAATTACAAAAATGAATATGGTAGTTGTTCATTTTACACACAAGATGTGACTGGGAAATTGCTGTATTTTTGTGTAAACAGTATGACCAAAAATTCTCCTTAAGCACAATATATATATATATTTTGAGCCAATTTCTTGTACAACACCTGCGTTTTCATGACTACATACAGTAATGTCTTTCAGTTTGTGGTGGAGTTTTATGTTGTGACTAATTTTCATTTAGGTATGGCCTGAGCAAAGAGGATGCTGAGTCCTACGTCCTGTGTGACACCATTGGCTCGATCGACAAACATCAGTGGAGGACAGAAGGCTTCAGAGTGGTTGGCGATCATGAAAAACCTCTCCTTCTGCAGTCACTTTGGAAACCTAAAGAAGGTTTGGTGCGACGTTTTGAAATCCAACGAAGAAGTCRGATAGAGGAGAAGATATCAGGAGAGAAGGACACAATTACTGCTGGTAAGCTTGGAGAGCAGTTTCTTCTCTGTTTTTAGTATGTCAYCAAGAGCATCTCCTTAAATTCGTCTTTTTAAAAGAAGGTAATAAACCTAATTTTAGAATTCTTTGGGTAATATTGTGGTTTGCAGCTTTATTTTTCCAGGCAAAATTAGCCACAGCCCTTTTTGTTCTTTTTTATTTCTGTTACAAATTTAGATTTTATTGTGTCAGCCGTATTTTTTTTTCTAAAGCTGAATCAGATGAATTATACAGATATGCAAAGTGATGTCATAGCTGTTTTTTCTTCTGGTCTTCAATTAAAACTGAGTGAGGTCCACCTAAATAAATTTGTCTTGAGCAAAAGTTTTTGCAGATAAATGGACAGTGACCAGATCAACAGAAGGGAAACAGAAAAAAGCCATTATTTTAACCTTTGCAAAAACAAGAAAGCTGTGCCACTGCCTCCTGAGATTAATTATTGTAAATGTGGAAAAAACATGCTCAAGTCAAAAGAATGTTAATWCTRTTAAAATTTAACTAATCAACCAAAGAGTTAATTTGCGTGTATAGATACGTATAAGTACTGTATATTTATTACATTTTTCACTTGAGCACATTGCCACTCTGTCACTGGCACAATGCATCTTGGGGATGAGGATGAGGATGATGGGTTATGGCTGAGACTAACACACATAAAGTCAAGGCTGAAGAGGACGATGGAGTAKCCGCAGTAATCCTGATTTCATTCCACTACCCATAATTCATAGCAAAAGCTGGTTTTATATTTCCACTTGCACTATTGTTTACAAATACGGGAATACACCATCGCTGTTTATCAAAGTATTTTTCACTGAAGTTTGGCTTAAATGGCAACACATGGACGTGTATATGCTGTAAAAGTATTTTAAAAAAGCAGCGAGGCTCACCCGTCACTGCTCACGGAGATGACATAGAGCTGTGTCTCGATGTTAGCTACTACTGACATTAACTTGTCTTTCCCGAAGAAACACACWAATGCAAAATCATGAATGTCAACATTTCTAGAAGTAAAATGTTCCTAAGCCCCTCAGAATTGTAATAATTGTATAAAAGAATTGTGATTAGACGTTTTCTTCCCCCCCATTCTAAACATAAAATTCACTGGGTGCTAGTTCGCTAGTAACCTTTAGAGCTGAACTGGAGGGTTTCATACAGCTGCAGTCATTTTAAATAAACGATAAACAAAAATAATCAAACTGCCTCTAATAACTCAGTTAGCATATTCTTTATTAAAACAAACCATACCTTAATCTCCTCATCTTTTAATCCTKCCGTATAGATAAAATATTTTAGCATGTATTTGGGAAGAGGATTGTTTAATATTCCCAGCTTACTCAGAGTTGAGAGTTAAATTAAGTMATTTGTATAGTTTTCAATTCAATTCTAGTTGCCCTTCACTGCTCCGTCTGGGACTTCTCCCATTGAGATGGATTTCACAGGCAGATTTTAATCCGGGCCAATCAGAGAACAGAACGTCAATTTTCTGCGCAGTGTCTGCTTGTAGTTWATTTTACCTGGGCCAATCAGCAAACAGAAGGAGGAGTTTTGAATGACATCGATTTTCTGCACAGTGTCTGCTAGTTATTTTAGCAAATGGCAGTGGAGGAAGTGAATGAAGCCAGTCTGTGTTGATAAGGCTTCAAATTAAAATAAATTTGTCTGATAAAGCAGCAGCTCTCATTTACAGTCGTCTCGTTCAGCTCGGTACTTCTCTCCTTTAAGTAGGGTTGTTTACAGCACACGCGATTTCCGGTTAGCTTCTTAGCTTAGCCTCCGTCACAGCGACATACGTCGCAGCCAACTGATCCAAHCATTTTAAACTTCAGCAGAGGCCAAGCCTCCTGCAAGAAACGCTTCTCTATKCAGCAAGTCCAGACCCTCGTACGAAGCAAAGTGAAGGACAGGGTCTGGTTTAAACCAGGCTAAGCAAATACCATAGGCTTAATATTTCTTTAAATTTGAGACTTAACTGCAAACAACTTGCTAACATCCAGGCTAACACTAGGCTAATATCGGCTTTAATTTAGTAAAAGCAAAGAACCGCACGATGAAATAGTGAAACGATACAAACCACATTTACAATTTAACTCATCAGGCACAGATTCAGGGTTTTAATTGATATTGCTGGAAGCTGTCTGACTCACAGTGGTCCGGAACGAGCTGCCTTTGGTGGCCATACCTCAGATAGAGCTCTGGATCTGAGTGAATATCTGTGGGATTATTGACGATAAACTGAAAAGAGTAAATAAACTCTATTCAGTGGGTTTTTGATGTCCAAAGCTGCCAGCCGTGTTATTTCACGATCATCCTTCTCCAGCATAAAGTGCCGTGTGTACGGCGCTGAGCATGGATATGTCTTTACTAAGTCTTGTTCAAGGCAAAACGTTTCTTAAGCGTTTCTCAGTTTTCTTCAATTGTTGTGGCAGCGACAAAAACACAAGTTGAACCCAAACTCGTGATTGAACTGCTCAAGGCGTCGGTTTAAGAAAAACAAACAGATTTTAGTATCATAACTCTCTGAATGAATGAATTTCTTGCACATCGGAAACATGGAACCGGGGGGCGGGACAGGCGGTCTGTCGTGGCAGCCTACATACGCTTTTACAGAAACTTGTGGATTAGTCCCCTTTGACAGTATATATTTTTGATCTATAAAAACTGAACAGCCTTTAGTATTTATAGTCTCATTTTTATTGCTGAAGTTGGTGTTTATTAAATAATAACTAATGCTAAAACAAATTGGAGCTCTCTTTGAATTAGGGATAGAATCACAGTCCAGCATTTGACCCTCTAAAAAAAGTAAGAAAATAAAAAAGGCTAGAATACAAGTACCTTTTACAATTAAATGCAATAAAACACAAAGATTTATTCCATAGGAATTTAACAACTGATACGGGCCCGAAGACTAAATTTGGGTCCAGATCAGGACCACGACCCATCATTTGAAGACCCCAATTCTGTATGGACACACCTTGTTATTAATACATTACTGTTAGCAATAAAACCTTTTATTGCTAATTATCTGATCTACTTGTTTTTATAAAGCATGACGTAAAGGGGGTGGGGGGGGACAAGAACTTTCCACAGATTTTTGACACAACATGGACCAGTAAAGGTACTGGGTGGTTCTTTTTTGTGTCAGTTTTACAATCATTTCTTATACAGGCCCCAGCCATGGTTTACACAGCTGTGGTCGTGTGAGTGTGTGTCCTGTTATGTTTTTGGCTCTTATGAATGGCACAGCGTGTAAAAGGGTTTTATCAGTGTCAGCTTGTGGATGCCTGCAGCGAGGCTAAACTTTTTCCTTCTTTCACACGAGTGCTGTCCTTTTTTTTTCCACTGAGGTCAGCTTCCTGTATCTAGCTTCTTCTTGTTGACTCTGGCATGAACACATCACACCCTGAGCCCTCTATCACCATTTTGCTGAATGTACTTTTAAAGTACCTCAGTTTGTGTAAAAGGTTTAATACTCATTTTATCTGTTCTTGTTAGGTATCAATGCCCAGGCTCGTAAGCTGCAGAAGAGCCGATCCAGAGTCACCTCCACCCTCTTAGAGAGGACAGTGGGTCAAAGCCAGAAACTTTGGCGGAGCAAAAGTGAGATGGATCTCTTAGATGAAGAGGCCAAACATGACACACATACCAAGGATCAACACAAGAGCCTCAATCCTGCTTCCTTTCCCAGTTCCAAGTCCCTCATAGCAAGCCCTGAACAGAATCGCATTCATGGCGTGGCCGTCCTCTCTGAGGTGGACGCAGAGTCAGACGCCAAAACAGAGAGCCTCTGTGTGTCGGGGCCGAGAGGCGAGCGGGAAGGAGAGGAGTCTGAGAGGGAGGAGACGGAGAGCAGCGATGATAACACCACACAGTACTCCATTCACCCGCCTCAGGACTGTCCATACCTGCTGCTGCTTCAGGGCTGCAGCCTTGCACAGGTATTTGATCAAACACACTCCGAGGCCCCTGTTCACACATTTGTTTTTCGATATTTTTAGAAATGGAGATTTTTCCTGCTGAATTACCGCAGAGTGAGAAAAACTTGGATTCTAAAAACATTTTTGGTTTGGATGTGTGGACAGGAAATACAAAGAGGTGCTCAGAAATGATGGCAYAGCTCATTTCAAACATGCTCTGTATCACTTTGCACCCTAAAAACCCAAACAACAATGGAGCCAGGCAGTATGAACTTAATAATCAGGCAGAGTGGTATAATTATTTTCTAGCACAACCAGTTTCTCTTCATCTGTCTTGCTCTCTCTAATGAGAGGTTTGATTATCCTAACTTGTGGTTATGGGAGGACTGTATGTAAGGTAACTGATTTAAATATTCAATCTTCTGTCTGTCCAGAACAAATGAGGCATTGTTTACTCTTTATTGGTGTTGCCAAGGTTTACTTTTATGTGGTTTCTAGAAAAAAAAATAACAATTAGTGATCAAATAAACAATGCAGAAAATACCACCTATCTAACAGTACAGACAGATATGCAAAGCGACCATCATGAAATAAAGCCAAAAATACAGTACTTAGTTATTGAATATGACAACCTATAAACTAAAATAGAAATTAGAACGAAAACATTGATCATTTGTTACATTCTCGCCAAATTCTGAAAATTCTGATCGTTCTTGAACGCACTATATAAAATAAGAGAATTTCAGAGTTCCTACGGTCTTTAAATGCACCTCTAATATAAACGGCAGAATTAGTCGCTGTTGGGATTAATTCTACTCCCACTGTGATGGATGTGTATTCTGTCAAACACTCCAAATGAAACATTTAAAACAGCTATAAAGTGAACTTAACAGTCTCATGGACGCACAAATGTTAAATGGGAAACTTGAGTGTCCCAATAAAGAGAATCCCCTGATGAACAAAGTCAACTTATTCTGATGACTATTCAAGTGGCGACGGTCAAACTGAAGCTGAGTAACTCTGAGAAAATGACTCTTCCACGAGGAGAAAATATTATTGGATGGATTACAAGTAGACAACTGGTATGGGATGGCAGTGCATTCAGTCAGACACTTTCCTTGTAAACAACATGTCTGGTGATTGCAAAGGGCCTTTTGAGTAAGTGATGCAGATTTAAAATCTCTGTGTCAAATGATTAGCATATATGTGTATGTGTGTTTGTATGTGTGTGTATTTGTGTATGTATTTGTTACCTTCTTAGGACTGTTTCTGGTATACACACCAACCTTGTTAAGATCAGTAGTCCCATTTTTGGGATGGGGGTTCAGTTTGGGACTATGGTGTGAACTGAGTTTAGGTTAAGTTTAGGGTCAGGTTTAGTGTAAGGGGTCAGGGTTAAGCTTTACAAACAACTGGAAATGAATGTAAGTCAATGAAAAGTCCCAGTAAGGATAGAAATACACACTTGTGTGTGCGTGTGCGTGTACACCTGCTCATCTACTTGTCCATGTCTACCGAAGCATTGCTAATCAGCCAGGGAATAATGTCAGGGTTGAATTTTTCTGTTTCCTGAGCAGTGTTGTGACAGTTTTCCTGTCTTTTCCCTTCTTCTTCTGTTGTTCTAAACAAACACAACACTGTTTTGTCTGATATTTCAACATACATGAACTTTCTTGATCTGGGACTTCTTTTTGTAGTCATTTAAATCAGGGGTGTCCAACCCTGGCCCTCGAGGGCCACGATCCTGCATGAGAATTTTCTGCTCCAACACACCTGATTTGAACCAATAGGTGATTAGCTTTTGTAGAACTTGAAAAGGTAATTCAGGTGTGTTGGAGCAGAGAAACAAGTAAAACATGCAGGGTAGCGGCCCTTTATTTAATTATTAGTTACAGTTCAGTGAGAGACCACGCTAAACATTTTAACACATAATCAGAATTTACTGGGGAAAAGATCATTAGAGAAAGCAAGAGAGATGCAGAGAAATGGATCAAAATGGCTCCATTGTTGTTTGAGTTTTTAGGGAGTAATGTCAGTTTCAGCTCAGCCTAATAAATCTGTTGCAAACAACAATTATCATAAGCCAAACAAAATAAGCTGCACATTGGCAGCCAAATTGCCTAATGAAAACATGATTTACCTAATCYGACTTGAATCCAATACCTCCTCGTGAGTCAAAAGCATTGCATTGTTAGAAGCCAAATGTTACCAGTTAGAGCTCTTTTTTTTTGGTGAAGTTGCGAATAAAATAATCTACAAAAGTTGGCCCTGCTGATGCATCTGTTTCTCAATGGAAGGGAATAAATATAAGTATATATAAAGCAGCAATGTTTTCATGTCACCATTGTGTCATTTGCATTTTGTTCATTAAGTGTCGTACCAGATAACAAACTTTTATAGCAGCTTTCAAATGGTGTATTTTGCCGTTATGGCCCACTTCCAGCCTGACTTCTGAAACCCAGAGACCTGGGGTTGCGTTCAATCAGGCGGGACTGCTGGRGCCGATTTGAAATTGTCCATTGTTGTGTCGCAATAAAGTGACATCACATTAAGGAGGTGGAACTCAGCAAAGCAAGCAGAACCAGGGTCGGGCTGAAATRAGGCCAGGCTGACTGGAATGCAGAAAGGCCAAAACAGGTTTTTTTAGTCTAAATCTATTTATTTAAATATGGATAATGCACACTAATCAATCATGATATGCATGTCATGTAAATGTGCTGGATTTAGCTGTAGAGTTTTCAACTGCAGTCCCTAAACATTGGTTTGGTCTTGTGACATTTTAAAAAACAGGTTTTCAAACAGGAATTACTTACTTCAAGCAAGAAAGTTTTTGACTTCTCATCTTTCTTTAAAAAACCTCTGTGCTGTCAGATCGTCTGCTACGATTCTTAAGCAGTTCCATGTTCTCCACTTATTAAAATGCCCGTGTCTGAATGTTCAAAGCAATGGGTGCGCTGTAGAATTTTAAGCCCAATATTTACTTTGGAGGCAGTTTGGTGAAAGAATCTGTCAGTCCTCCACGGTATCATTCATTTTCCCATTTGGAAAGAATAGATTCAAAGTCGACGACCAGTCTCTTCAAGTGGTCAGCAGCAGAAACCAAGCGACACAGATGGAGGCCGTCTCCCTTTTGAACAGACTCTGGTTTGACCTTCATCCAGAACCACGATGGGTTTCTGGGTTTAGACGGTTTCTTGCTGGCAGGCTCTACTGGATGTGCATGCCATTCAACAGGCAGAACAGTTTCCAGTCTGAACACACTTTTGTTTTCTTGTTACTTCTTACTGAGTTTTAAGAAAACAATAAAATGCCATTTCAGAGATGGAAATCTGGCYCAGAACTGGATGAAACCCAGTGAGAAATCACAATGTTTCATCCCTCCTGCCAACAAATTAAAGTGGAAAGAGTGTCTATAACAAAATAATTCTTATACGGTGGTGTGGTACAATACAAAATATTTTGGCACTTTTTCTTCCTTTTTAGACAAAAAAGCGAAGGCAACAAAAGCTGCTTTTTAGACCATAAAGATCCAAATCTGACCCTGTTGCTGGTGGGGATCTCAGTTTTCTGCTGCTCTTGCCAAGAGATTGGACCCCTGCAGAATATTTAAAGACTTCCATTCATCTTCTTTGGCAGTTTTATCCATCTTATTGTAGGGAATTGCTTAAAAAACAAAAAAATTAAATACAAACAGGCTTTTTACTGTGTAAGGTCTTGGCAGAGATTAAACTTGTTTCTATGGTAAAGAGGTGATAGCTTAGTTCTTAGCCAATATAGTGCCACATTATACTGTCAATATCATATAAAAAACTAACTGTAAACTAATAATTATTGACCAGTACCAATTCCAATAACAAATGTGCACAGGAACAGCAAACAAACACAATAAAGCAGGGTACAAAGTGATTTGTATTGACACAGCATGTGAGTAAACTATAGGCATGGTCTTAATGAAAAGGAAAAAGGTCTCACAACATAAAAAAGCCCAGTTGCCCTTGATTCAAGGATCTCTGTGCCCATGATGACTGAGGATCAGCCTCCACCATCATTTCTAACATGCTTCTTGGCACCAGTATTTTAAAGCTACACTTCTAGGTGCAGATCGAAAGTTTCACTGTGACGCTGATCTTGTTTTCCAAAACCAGTTCTGTAAACTGTAGCTGTCCATGCTATGACATAAATGTAGGATCAGAGTCTTTCCAGTTCTCACTCAGCAACTCATAGCTTCTTTCATTGAATCCAAGTGGAAAAAGCCAGTAAAATTTCAAGTAAATGACTTCAGATAGCTCTCTGTTTATTTTCATTCATTTGAAACAGAAAGGCCACTGAGAGCATTATTAAACAAAGACAAGAGCTCCCCCTGGAGGAGCAGACCTTAAAATAACGTCTAAGTCTGAGACATTTAAAAGACAATAACTGATGTTTGATCTCTCTTCTCAGGACTTCATCATCTACCTGCTGGCAGCTCCACATGTTGTTGTGGGTCAACAAAGTGCTCCTGAAGACAAGGTGAAGACTGACATCCCTCTCTTTGCCAACGACATCCTCTCACAACACTGCTCTTTCCAGCGCCTCAGTGTTGGCGGTCCCATCATGCTCTGCCCCTGTCAGGATGCTGTGGTCACGAGAAACGGTGAAATTGTGAAAAACGCCGTCCGGCTGAGCCCCAGCGATGTTATCGGGATGGGGAAGCACTACCTGTTCCTTTTCAGGGATCCTTTAAGTTCAACACATGAGGTAGACGAGGACAAGTCTTTTTAGACGTCTTTGATTATGTTTCCTCGCACATACAGTAAACAGTGATTTCTTYCTGCAGGAACCTAACAGTTCTGATTCTGAACCCTACTCGTCTCCTGCGGTTCCATGGATGTTGAGCCACAGCCCTTCAGCAGCAACGAACCACACAACAGAATCAGTCCTCTGCAACAGCTGCATCTCCAGTGGCACCGACCACCAGAGCTCAGACAGCAAACAGCCTCTGAACAGAACCACTCCTTTACTAAAATCCCCCGGAGGCCACAGTCTGACTTTGGACTACCGAGCTGAGGATGAAGATCGGATTGTCAGGGAGATTGTTTCAATGGGAGGCAGCAGCAGAACCCCACTAACTGTGTCCTTTTTACTGATCACGTGTGTTCAGTGTTCAGCAGCACGTCTTCATTCCACCGACCTCCGCAGGCTCCTGCTGCTTATTGCAAGTGGATTTCAGAGTGCCATGTGGGTGAGTTACACATTCTGATAGTCTGGAACAGGACCACAACTCAGAATGAGCATATAATTCCCAAATGACATCACACTTCCAGGTACTGCACCATCATTGTGATAGTGGGAACAAAACCGAAACCAGCTGGATCATTCCCAATAACTTATCCTGTAGAACACAAGTCACTGAGCTTTCCACTCCACTGACTGCCCCAACAYGTTCCCACTCTCCACTCGTCGTACAGCAACGCTTGGTCAGGCTCGCTCTGCGTCACTTATTGACGTGTCGGATTAAGTTTTAGTAGTTAAATCAGGGGTTGWATGTTCAGGTTATTAGAGGTTAGGTTTAGGGTTAAGGGTTATGGTTTGGCAACACGACGGCTCAGTGGTTAGCACTGACGCCTCACAGCAAGAAGGTGCTGGGTTTGATACCCGGTTCGGACCTGGGGTCTTTCTGTGTGGAGTTTGCATGTTCTCCTCGTGCTTGCGTGGGTTTTCTCTGGGTACTCTGGTTTCCTCCATCCCCAAAAACATGTACAATAGGTTGCCTTCAGGCCTCCCTTGAAAAAGAGATCTCAACCTTGCCTGGTTAAATAATGGTAAATAAATACATAAATAAATAAATAAATAAAGTTAGTTGTAGCACACTTTATATGTTTTTCTTTTTAAAATATGACAACAGGCTCCTCCTCCTTGTTCTCGTCATCAATTCATGACGAGAGGGGAGGTACCCGTCACATTAATAAGTGACGCAGAGGGAGCCTGACCAAGCAGTCATATGTGACGAGCTGGGAGTGAGAACACGCTGGACTGYGCATGARTGAGAGMACCATGATGGTTGTTKGGTTYAAGGGTGTAGAAACAAAAGCAATAAGTCATGWTTAAAGYGTCTCCCTTAYATCTGGAGGATTAGGAGAGGTGAAGGTGAGCTAACGTTGCTACTGAGCATCAAGCATCGGTGAGTGTGGCTGGCTAATGTCCAGAAGAAACACACGTCATCTAATACTGCATGGGTTTGTCCCATTACTTCATCAGCAGTTTCAAGTTTTTCGAAAAATAGCWAAACTGATCTTGACAGTGAAGACTCAAAATGAACACAGTGTTATAAATATAGTTTTTGTGTCCTCACATCTTTCACCAATCACTACTTCTTTGGTTGAAAGTRTCCAAAGACATCACGAATCATAGTTTATCCGTAGTGTTGGCACCTTTTTTTGTGAAATAAATAATTTACAGCATTGATGTGAATGCTAGGAGTCAGTCTAATTAGGCACACATTTTGCCTTTGTCCAGCTCATATTTCAATAACCACAAATCTCTGTGGCTTTTTTTAAGGATAATCTAATGTGTCCTGGTAATGTGCGCTAGCATTTGGCAAAACCATAGCTCACAAAATGTTTTATTACAAAGCTGAATAAAAAACCTTCTGTAATGCTGCCCAYAGCTGGCGCCGCTCACTGGTATACTTTCAACATGGCGAAATTCAAATACGACTGGCTTCCGGTCTGGTCTTGTGGGAACTATCCATCAAATGAGCTATCAGGAAGAAACCACACCCCTAATTTCACAATGCAGTGCTTGTGTCATGGCTGCCATACTCAATCGTGAACTTGTGCATATGTGTGTATTTTTGCCAAAAGGGACAAGTTATAGAAAATATATTTGTCACTATGAACACTACCTTACGCTCCAAACTTGGTACACTAAATAAAGCAATCAGGACGAAAAACAAAGTGGAAAAACTGCAAATTATTTTTCCGTTGGGAAGTTCTGAGTCTCTTTTTAAAACTTTTTAAAAATCCAAAAGACCTGTAATCCTTATTTCTTGTGTCCTGTGCATTTTGTAAATCCAAAAGATGCAGACATACACATCAAACCCTCTGAGGAAATGCAGGGTACATATGAGGGCTTCCTGATGGACATCTTTAAAGCCACGACTGTTGACCTTTGGTTTGAACCTTAATACTWTAAAATATATTTTGATATAGACATAAATATCTTCATACACTGCTCAGCCAAAATAAAGGTCGCCACCYGGATTTAACTAAGCAAATAGTAAGATCCTGTGATTGAATAATTACAGCATGGCTGATTATGTTTTAGCTGACAAGTTAAACCCTAACTGATGCAGTGGGAAGCTCCTTGTTTTTTAAACAATCGAGTTGAAAGATACATCCTCTGGTTGTGGAAAAGAAGTTAATCTGTTTCAGAGAKGTCAAATTATTGGCATCAAGCGGAGAAAACATCTAAATGAGATTACTGAAACTACTAAAAGTCAGGTTAAGAACTGTGCAATGTAAGAAAGTCAGGTGGACTGAAGAGTCCAGATTGGCTGTTCCAGTGTAATGGGTCATCAGAGAGGAGTTTAAAGTGACTGTACAGATCTGACAGGGGTAGGTGGTTTGATTTAAGAWTGTTTAGATGACCTGGAGAAGACAGTGGTTCAACGTTCTTGTCATCAATGCCATCAAAATCACAGGTTTGTCTAATGTGAGCAGTGAGAGACTGAACAGACTCAGACAACTAGGAAGTAAAAGCTAAGTGAGGCTTATTTACAGGTGCAGGAACTGGATCCAGATCTGGAGGAAGGCAAAGGTGAGTATGTTTGTCCAGCAGGCAGACTGGTCTTGGAAGCTGACAAGGTGAGTATTGAGGTAAATAATGAATGTTTTGGTTCTTACAGGTTTTCGGGAGGCAATTATTGTGTAGGAGAAAGCGAAGACTGATCAGGTGAGTATCAGCAGGTAGGTAATCAGTGCTGGTCTCAGGAGGTGCAGCAGATGAGTTTGGACCACAGGTATCCACAGGAGAAGGAGAGAGCTGAGCAGCAGGTGAGTATCAGACAGGTGAGTCAGCAAACCGGAGGTTACTTGAGGACAGGAACAAGGATAAAACGTTCTTGGATCTTCCAAGATGYAAAAGCAACATGGGTTGAGTTACTCAGATAAGTTGACTTAGACTGAGCAGCTGCTACACTACCAAAGAAGCAAAGACCAGAACACAGAGGAAGCCTAAAAAGCCCAGGAACCAATCAGAAAAAAACAGATTCACAGACCACCACAAATACAAGATCTYGGTGAAAAATCAAAACTCTGGATAGAAAAACAATATGACATATGTTAAGGAAAGAATACCAAAGCTAAAGGCGGTCCAACAAAATATTAGCATGGCCATTGCCTTCATATGCAATTCCGTTCGATTCAAAAGCAAAGCAAAWAACGAGGGGCTGCTTTTTACTAGACTAACAAAATATTAGTGAGTGACCTTTTTTTTGGCGGGGCAGTATTTGTGCCTTGATATTTCTTTATGAAGGGTAATTTTATAAATGCCACCTTGTTAAACACAGTAGCCAGTTGGTGATTTTAAATGGCACTTCCTCTTTTGTGAGTGCCATTTATGCCAAATGTTAAAAATCAAACATGATTTGATCAGTTTCTATCTGTTTGTGCTGTGGCAGCCATCTTGACACAGAAAAATGATGTGTGTACGTCCCATGATTACTTTCTCAGTTTCAATAAAATATGTTCAATAATTTATGAGAAATGACATATTTTGCTAACAGAAAAACGCCCAGGTCAGGTGATAAACATGTGGCTCAAACATATCAAACTTATTGACAATTTATCATTATTTTTCTTTTTAATCAAAACAGTAATAAAGTTTATTGTAAATTAATAATCATTTGCACTTTTGTTCCAGTTTCTAAGGAGGAGGATTCGGGCTACAGGGGGAAAAAGTATTTGTTTTGCTCTGTGGCTCTTTCCTCTTCCAAAAYTGTACTTCATGAAATGAGCAAAATTAGTTGTGAACACAATTCACTTTTCAATMATTTACAAATATCTGACTAAATTGTCTACTTCTAATTTCATTCTGAAACATGACACTGTTTCACTCACAGATGTTATTGTATCTTCCTATACAGGACTGTACTACAAAGCTAGCCACAGTTCAGACTGAAGTGTAAGTCATTTTTCTCTGTCAAACCATCGATTTAGCAATTTTATGACTTCATTTAGAAATGATATTTTGCTCTTTCTTATAGTCACACTGTTAAAGGGTCAAACCRTGAAAACCTTGAGCCAAGCAGCCCGCACAAGATGATCTTGGGGCTACGCCCCCTGGTGGTGTGGATGGCCAACAGCCTGGAGTTGCTGCAGTTTATTCAACACCAGCTGCCTCTGATACTGGAGTGGAGGAACCAAGAAGATCACAGGCAGGAGCTGAACAAAGAGTGGGAAGGTGATGAACACAAGGAAGTGGAGAACTTAGGTCAGTGAATATGTGATCTTAAAACAACATTAATACCCAAAAACAGCTCTTAAATCATGACTGAAACCAGTGGTGCCCARTCCTGGGCTTCAAGGGCTACCATCCTCCTACATGTTCCACAGTGGTCCTTCAGTGTGGAGTTTGCATSTTCTCCTYATGYTTGTGTGGGTTTTCTCCAGGCACTCTGGTTTCATCCCACAGACTAAAAACGTAATGTTAGGATGCCTTCGGGCCCAGCCAGGCCTCCCTTGCAAAACAGATTTGTGATGTCRTTGTGATTTGGCTGGTTAAACAGAGGTTAATAAAGTTGTTTACACCTTCTCTTCAGCATTTCTTCAAATTTTTCAGAAGCCTGCGATCATTCATTCAAATCAGGTGTGTTGGAGCAGAAAAACATGTAAAACATGCAGAAGAGTGGCCCCTTGAGGACCAGGATAGGGCACCTCAGACCTAGACTGATGCAGTACATAAGGTCTTCTTGCAGGTACAAAAAAAATAAATCTAAGTTGTATAAACCAATTGTGGTCAAAGTGGCTACAATTATGCAAACATTTTGAAGAGTTGTTTGTCATCAAAATACATAAAATATTCAGAATCATWAAAATTAATCTGTGATTGCATTAAAACTGTTAATAATATTAAAACATTAGTTCAGCCATGTCCAGTTTTGTGATTTGTTTAAACTACAAAAAAATTGGATTGGGAAATATGTCTCACTTGTTTTACCAAAATKCCATTATTTTCTGTGGCAAATGTTTCACATTCTTTTACCGGTTTTGTCTGTGCTGTATCATGTAGTGCTACCAAAATTATAGCACTCTATTCCTTATTGAGCCATATGTTTTTATGTATTTTTGTATGAATTGTTAAAATAATAATTGTATTAATAGGTCAACGGATCCGTCAGCCATGTTTTTGTCTCAATGTTTTCAACACACAATGAATATGTTTTTTTTTAGCATCGTTGGAGCTCCGCTTGTCTCACATTCGATCAGCCTGTGAAGAAACCACGGCTGTCTTGGAGGAAGTACTCATGCTCGCCTTCCAGCAATGTGTCTACTACATCACAAAGGTAACGATGACTCAGGAAAYACGTCTCTATTCATTGAAGAAGTTTGTAAAATGCCATGAATTGATATTTATTGACTTACATGAAGACATATATCATTCACTGGCCCACTCATTCACATCAAGCTGCCAGAGTGCAGCCAAAACAGATTAAAAATACTATGTTTATGTAGCAGGAGTTTACAACAAAGGTTATTTTATTCATCTAACAAAAACAAGTCAAAATCTTAGAGAAACTGCAGTTTTGTAGAAAATGCAGTGAAAATTAACGAAACATAACATAAAACCAGCAAAATGGAAGCACATGCAAAATTATTACAACAGCAGCTGAAAGATAAAATTAGCTRAAACAAGACAAGCAAAACAGTAGTTAATACGGAAATGGTAAATAGATTGAACTTAAAGCACTTTATCAAGCCCCATGGGGTTCCCAAAGCGCTTGCACGTCAGTCATTCACACACTGATGGTGGTAAGCTACACTGTAGCCACAGCTGCCCTGGGGCACACTGACAGAGGTGGGGCTGCCATGCAGCGGCACCACCGGACCCTCTGACCACCATCAGTAGGCAAGGCTGGTGAAGTGTCTTGCCCAAKGACACAACAACTGAGACWGCTGGAACGGGGGATYGAACTGGCARCCTTCCATTTACAKGATGATTCCCCTAACCACTCCGCCCCAGCCGCCACCCAGAAATGAAAAGCAGCAAAACAGCCGGGAAAATTTTAAACTAACAAAACAGTAGCTAAAAACTACAACAGTTAAAGCAATAGCTAATAGCTAAACCTAGCAAAACACTAGCAAGCTCACAATAAATCACTTACACTGAGGTAGATTTCAAAGAGCCCAAGGTTTTCAAAAATGTAAAGTGTTTCTCTGAGGGAAAATGTGAATAAAGGTAATTATTTTGGGAAAAGAATAAAAGTTACAAAAAACAAAAGTCATAKTCATAATGTCAGTGTAGCATGAAGGACCATAACCCTGACATGAGCTCTTGACTCTAGACCTTCATGCTACATCAGGAATGAGCTGAATGTTTTGATATGAATGGTTAAAATAGCTGAGGTGGTTACAGTTTAGATAATGGAACAAAATACGCTATAGACAGTGAAATCACTTCAATTCAGATCAAACCAGTCACATAGGATTCAATCCAAATTACATGCAGTCCAGTACAGTTCAGTTTTCAGTGTGTTATAAAATGCCAATTATAAGAAACCAGAAGAAGGAACTGACCTTGAACTTGGTGTTATCTCCATTCTGAGTAAGCATGGGATGGCAGGCAGCAGTGGAAATGAACATTTTCATTTTAGCAGGAAAAACTCTTCAGCAGAACGAGACCAGCTGCCTCCACAAGCTGGGGTCTGAGWGGACAGGAAAGAGACRCAACAAACAAAATTACTGCGCCRGTGTAGCTTCTATGGAAAGAMAAACACAACRTTAATGCCACCAATGCTTGTAAATAAAAACATGGAGAGAAGGGCGAGTAAAGACAGAAAAATGAGGAATTGTGGTCAGTTTGTCCTCCAGCAGTCTAACCCWGTAGCAGCAGAACTAAAGGAAAACTCAGGAAAACCAATCCTAACTATAGGATTTATCACAATGGAAGGTCTTAAGCCTGGTCTTTAAGGCAGACAGGGTGTCAGCATCAAGCTGGAAGTTGGTTCCACAAGAGAGGAGCTTGATAACTGAAAGCTCTGCCTCCCATTCTACTTTTAGAAACTCGAGGAACCACAAGTAAATCTGCAGAGAGCGAGGCGCTCTGTTAGCAAAATATGTTACAATAAGATCTTTAATATAAGAGAACTTTGTTGTTGAGAGCTTTGTGTTTTAATACTAGAAGAAAAGATTTAAATTCTGGATTTGACAGACGTRGCCTGACAGAATCGTGTCAGAGTGAGTCTAAAGATCATAATGAAAAGAGATCATCTAGCATATACACACAGCAAATCAGATCAATCAGCTGACTCCTATAATTAAAAGTAAAACAAACCCCCCTTTTGGAAATTAAAAAGAAATGATTAAATTTATTCTTCACAAAATGTTTGTGCTGAAAGCTTTTGGGCTTTTTTTTTTCCCCACAGCGTTGTTAGACGGGTAAATGTGTGGTCACAGAATTAAATTCTGAGTGAACCAGCGCCACACCCATGGAAGCATGCCCAGGAAAGTTTCAGACTAATTTCCAGTTGAGCTGCGTGGGAGTGKGTGGAAATGCCATCCAAAAAGAAAAAAAATACATTGAAAAGATTGATTCCTAAAATGACATCTAACGCACCATTTCACTATTTGTTCCTCAGGCAGTGGCTGAACAGGAATCCACATCTKATTCATGAAAGAGACAGTTTTCAGTTTACTTACTGTAAGTTTCAGTGCTGGGGGAAACTCTGAATAGGAAACTATATAAGTTTTTCAGTAAACATGACCCTGTAGGTTTGATACAGAACATTTTTTGCTCAGCACAAAAGGATGTGGTTGTCTAACAACCTGAGATCGAATTATAAYACTGTTTTCACCCAGCTTGGTGAACCAAATGACTTCCAGATGCGCTTTWGTCAGTAAAATCATAAATAATCTCCAAACATAACATTCATCATCAGCTGGAAGTTGTCAGAAAGATATTTTCAAGCAAATATCCTAAAAATTTTATGGCCTCAGACCCGTAAATGTTACWTTTACTGTTTTATATTCCAAGATAYGGAACCAATTTTTCCCACCATTGTTTTGGAATKGGCATGTTTTTAAAGAGACACAGAGAGAGCGTTATGAGCTATATGTCTCTTTCAGTCATTTCAGCAGCTGAAATGATTGAAAGAGACATATAGCTCATTACACATTGTTTAGTTCAATATCTATAAATCAAAGTTCTAGCCATTTTGCGTCGGCTAAATTCAATAATTTGAACATTTTGAATTGGGTTGACTCCAAATACTTATGTGCTTTAGCTGCAAAACCAAGCGCTGTTATTTTTTCTTTCCCAATAAAGAGTGTAACTCTTCTATACAACAATAAGCCCAAAAGAAAACATTTCCTGAATGTGTCTGAGGTATTCTCAGCYGGTCTTCGCAATACGAAGTAAACGACTGTGGGACGAAACACAAAAGGCGCCACTGGTGGGAAGATATTCCAGCTAAAGTAATGTTGTGAGGAAGAAAGGCGGGCCATCGGCAGGCTTGTGGTCAGACTGCATGGTTATTTGTGCAGTGCAGACAATGCACAAATAAAATGACAATACACTGGGTTTGTTGAGCCTCCCGAGTAATGCGTGCCAAAGATGCATGTGGTGATCCCAGAAACCAGTCCTGCTGAGAGAMTGAACCCTCACCGGCCTGTCTCCATTGGGCAACATTTTCCAGCCAGCAACTCTTTGCAAGATGAGTTTATTATAGCAATGTTTTAGACAAGTAAAGTTAGGAAGAGTTAATGTCTTACCTAGATAACAGTTTAAGTCTTGACAGGACTGATGAAGGGCTGATCAGAACACAAGTGAGACTAAAGTGGATTTCTGCCAACAACTCCTATTTCTCAGATGTCCGTTTCTCAATACATATTTTTTRCTTTAAATTCTGTTTGTTTTCAAGCATAGTGTTAGAAGCAGTAAGTTTTAGCACTTCCAGCAGAAATTTAGTTCTATTTCTGCTGAAACAATCACATATTCTGAACGTGACAACATACGAAAGGTTCAAATAAAGAGTGTCTTAAAACAACAGTTCCACATAATAAAATATGTCTGGTCCAGTTCTGGCCCACACAATGCACCAACACCTACCCYMMCAGAWGTGGTTTGCCAGAGGTGGTCCATGCTTGGGCCAGCACCACRTAAACTAAACCACAACCGGGCCAATTGAGTATGCCACTCAAATTTATGAATGAAAATTGTTTAGAATGGTTGGTTTATTTCTTTGAAGATTACATTGTTGGAGTTCAGAGCAAAATGTTTGTATGTGTGGAAAGTCCCTCTKAATTATTTTGTTATAGGAGAGGGAGAAAAACACCACTTATTGTAATAGACTTACATTTGTTGGTACTCACTGCATAAATTGTGGGATATAAAAGGACTTCAACTACTTTGTTATTAAAAAAATCGCTGCAGTTTAATTAGGAAGACAAGTAGCTATTTTCTCAATCATTTTTGGTTATTTTGGKACATTGTACTTAACAAGATCCTTGTTCTTTAAATATTTAATAACTTTTTTRTGGTTATTGTTGATTTMGTCTGAAGAATAGWGCCTAGTTACTCAGGTTTATGAACCTTTYTCACCCTACTTTGTTACTACATGAGGTGTTATATGGCGCAAAAGATGTTTTGTGATAATAGTTTTGTATGATGCAGTTTAAGCTAATTCATGATGCTCAGTGTTTATAAGGTTAATGCATTTTCCAAGTATGATAAAGTTCAGGTTAAAGACAAGTTTTCAGTGTTCTACCACCATATCATACTGATCTTAGGTTGTTTTATGATTCCTATGAATTTAGTAAAATGCTCTTCAAATGGTTGGAAAATGCATTGTTTTGAGTACTTTTTTTTATTTACGGGGGCGCACGCCCTTGGATACCTCTATGACTATTTCACTCCACAGCTGCAGTTGATTTTAACAGWTGTTGGCAGGTATGATGTAGACTTCTGAGGTTCAGTTTAAAAATCTATATATAACTATTAACTGTCTGGACAAGACTATTTAACTGTATACCTGAATGTTTATAAATTGGCAGCAAGATTTAGAAAAYCTGCTGGGGACTAAGCCCCGCCCCCACCCCTAAATGTCAGATCCTAAAATCGCCCCTGAGTACCAGCTTGACACCAGATCTGGCCCACACCTTTGTGCTAACTGGTTTTGGAGAGTGTTTGCATATTCTCTCCGGGTACTTCGACTTCCTCCCACAGATCAAAAACATGACCGTTAGGTTATTTGATAACTCTAAATTGTCCCTAGTGGTGAGTGAGAGAGTGATTGGTTGTTTGTCTCGTTTGTCTCTATGTGGCCCTGCGCTGTGACTGCTGGATATGGGCACCAGTGACCCCCRTGACCCTGAAAGGAAAAGGCGTGTACAGAAAATGGATGGATGGATGGTTTTGGAGAGAGGTTTGATCAGACAAGCCTGGCATATCAATATGGTACAAAAATACCCATTTGCAGAAATTTTCATAACATCGCCACTCTTTAAAATATTTTTTAAGGTTCATGCAGACACCAATTTTTGAAACCATCAGTTTTGCGTTACACAAGGTTCACGTGTGGTGTTATATTTTTAAAAATGCATTGCAGACATYTCTGRCATGTTGGACATTTTATTAAATCAWYATCCTGCTTGCTCAGACAGTCTGTCATCTCCACATCAGACATTAGTTATAAAGCTGGTTTTATCTTTCAAACAACCACCATTAAGATGCTGTGCATACCTCACTTGGAGATGTGTCAGTGGCACCACAATAATTTCACAAATCACACTGAGACATCCAGAGTCATCCCATTTACACAGTATGTGAAAGAAGCTTTAAACTATATTACACCAAACTGAAGTCAGTCAAAGAGCTATCTACAGTAGGTAAAATATTCATRTTCTGCCAAAGTCTGATCCCTAGGTGGGTGGTGGTCTTACAGTAAACTGATCTCCTCTGGGTGGATTCCTTCAGTTCTCCACTCAGCAAAGCTTGTTGCAGTACCAAGCYCAAACTCAKGACCATATTTAATGTTTTAGGAATGTAGCTCTATTGCTGGCACTAGCCTTGGGTGCTTTGTGGGTATAAGTGAGTAAGACTGATGGGGAACAGGGATGTCTGAGCACAATTAGCCTGAACAAAGCTGTGGTTGTTCAGGCTCGCTCTGAAGACAAGGTTAAATGTTAGGAACTATATTATTTTACGTCTACTACAACTGAGGCAAACTAAATATACGCCAGCTGTGTTGTACTGTTTGAGATAGATGGATAGGGGTGATATGGGTGGTCTGAAATCTGAGCTGAAGGGTTGCATGTTTTAGTTTATACCAGAGATCAAATCATCCACCACGCTGTGTTAACTTTTCCTACCACTAAACTCACCCACAGGAATTGTCAACAGTCTCTACCTCTGCATGGATAAATAAGTCGCACTAAACCGTGCATTTGCTTCCCCCCTCCCCCCCAACCAGTTTCTTCACCCAGTCCTTCCAGGCCTTCTGGACTGCAACCCATTCAAGGAAAGCCCTGACCTTTGGGTGTCAGGTGACTGTGGTCAGGTCCCGGGCAGTGATGGCCTTCAAGCCACCGGAGAGATCTGGCAGGTGGTGGAGGTTTTGGACGAAATCTGGAAACTACTCTTTGACTGTCAGGTCCACCAGGAGGTTTCCTCACAGCTCCTAGGCTACCTCTTTTACTTCATCAACGCATCACTCTTCAACTCGCTCATGGAGAGAGGTACCAGCAGCAGAGCCATCTTCATTATATTCAATGTGGCCATAGGGAGTGGTGAACAGTGCATGAAGACTTTCCACATTAATGTGTAACAGATGGTTTGGTTTCATTCATATGATTTTAACAAGTCATGTCAGATTTTACAGTGGTTGTAGAATCTGCGACATCTTATGTTTGTAACACCTGTTAGATAAAGTTTCCATTCAGTGAAAAGCATGCTGACATGTCACCAAACATGACTTAACATTTGTCCATCCATAGAGATCCTGAAGCTTGTTAAATAAACTGTATGGATCTATGTTTATCCCTCATGTTCTACAGCTAACTTTGTTAGGTTCCATCTTCAAAATATTTGTCATACTTGGTGATACCCTACACAAATCATCAAAGGGACATTCCAATGGCCACTACTAACCAAATAGTTTATTGAGGTACAGAATTTATGTGTGTATAATGTTAAGAATTTTACCCCAAAAAAATCATCCTTAAAGTTGGGGGGTCATTATTTACAAGAGGATAAACTTTGACTAATCTTTTCCTAATGTACTATTACAATGAATCTCAATATTTATATAACAAATATTGTGTCGAAGAGGACAAATCATCATAATTTCTCCCTCTGCTCTCCCACTGTAAGCAGAGGTCTTCAACCTTGTTCCTTGTGACTCTGTACTGCATGTTTTAGATGTTTCCCTGCTTCAGCACACCTGATTCAAACAATTAAGTTGCCTACTCAGAATGTAATCCCTTTTTACAGAAACCTGTCAATTATTCATTATTTTCAATCAGGAAGCAGGGAAACATTAAAACATGCAGGGCAGGGGGTCACAAGTCACAGGGTTGAAGACCTCCGCACTCTATACTGTTGTGTATAGCTAAGCACATAAACAACAGCAGTCCTTATTTTCACACTGGAAAAAAAGACATGGACATCAGTTGCACATTTTTGCATGCCCAATAGAACCAGACAAGCTGCTCCTCAAAGGTGTTCATCTTGCTAACTTAACAACCGGCTCATTCTGCAGATCATCTTCAGCAACATGCAGAAGYTCAAACTGGTCCTCCTCAGCCACAAACACACCCACAAGTGTGTMCCCWAAATAATCTGTTTCCCCACAGATGGTGCACCACAAAGCCTGAAAAATCCGGTAACATCATACACAACAATTTATTTATGCTTTAAAAGCTCAAAAAAGGGTGTAATCTATATTTGAATTGCATCCAAACCATGTACAATAGGTTGCCTTCAGGCCCAGGCTGACCATGAAAAAGAGATCTGCGATCTCAGTGGGAGTTGCCTGGTAAAATAACAGTAAGTAAGTAAGTAAGTAAGTAAGTAATAAATAAGTAATAAATAATAAATAATTAAGTAATAAATGATAAATAATAAATACGTAATAAGTTATAAATAAGTAATAAGTAATAAGTAATAAATAAGTAATAAATAAGTAATAAGTAATAAATAAGTAATAAATAAGTAATAAGTAATAAATAAGTAATAAGTAATAAATAAGTAATAAATAAGTAATAAGTAATAAATAAATAAGTAATAAATAAATAAATAAATAAATAATACAGGGTCGTAAAATTAGAATATCATGAAAAAGTTGATTTATTCCAGTAATTCCATTCAAAAAGTGAAACTTCTATATTATATTCATTCATTACACAGACTGATATTTCAAATACTTATTTCTTTAATTTTGATTATTATAACTGAAAACTAATAAACCTCAAATTCAGTATGTTAAAAAATGTGAATATTGCAAAAAGTTTCAATATTAAAGACATCTGGTTGCACACTCTAATCAGCTAATTAACTCAAAACACCTGCAAAAGTTTTAGATGGTCTCTCAGTCTAGTTATTTCAACTACACCAGTGTTTCCCAACCCTGGTCCTCAAGGCACACTGCCCTGCATGTTAAAGAGGTCCCTGCTCTTAGCACCTGATTCAGATGATTGCAGTTTCAACAAAAGCCTGCTAATCAGTTTAAATCAGCTGTGTTGAAGCAGGGAAACATCTAAAACATGCAGGACAGTGTGCCTTGAGGACCAAGGTTGAAAAACTTCGGGCTACACAAGCATGGGGAAGACTGCTGACTTGACAGTTGTCCAAAAGACGATCATTGACACCTTGCACAARGAGGACAAGACACCAAAGGTCATTGCTAAAGAGGCCGGMTGTTCACAGAGCWCTGTGTCCAACACAGAGAGACAAAGGGGAGTAAAAGATGTGGTAGAAAAAAGTGCTGTCGCATTCCTTGTGTCAAGCCACTCTTGAACAAAAGACAGCATCTCACCTGGGCTAAAGACAAAAAGGACTGGACTGCTGKTGAGTGGTCCAAAGTCATGTTCTCTGATGAAAGWAAATTTTGCATTTCCTTTGGAAATCAAGGTTCCAGAGTCTGGAGGAAGAGAGGAGAAACACATAATCCACATTGCTTGTGGTCCAGTGTAAAGTTTCCACAGTCAGTGATGGTTTGGGGTGCTGTGTCAGCTGCTGGTGTTTGTCCACTGTGTTTCTGAGGTCCAAGGTCAACGCAGCCATTTACCAGGAAGTTTTAGAGCACTTCATGCCTCCTGCTGCTGACCAACTTTATGGACATGCAGGTTTTATTTTCCAACAGGACTTGGCACCTGCACACAGTGCGGTCAATACAACCCTTAAATCACAAATTTTATGAATATGTAAAATTCTGCCTGCATTAATCATTGGGTATTCAAATGAGATTGTCAGTGCTCCTACAGGATTTACGTGATTCACAGTCTGGGCTGAAATTTCARAAGTCAGTCTCTAGTGTAGTGTGATGGACTCTAGACATTATATTACATGACCAATGTATTAACACTAATTGCAAATGCAGTCTTGATAATGTGTTTTGTTGTTTAGCTCTTAGGTGGAGATTGATTTATTATGGGTTAAGCACACGCTTGAATGTTTAAGAGTAGGGTTATGGTTTAGGCTACRTTACACAGATGGATGGAAGTCAATRCATTTTCTTAATATRAATCTACAGTAATATAGTAATAAAYGTCTCTCTAAAGATKWTTTTTTTCTGTTGTGATCACAGGCTCAGAGCCAGGTTTCTACCAGTGGTTCAGAGGCGTGCAAATGCRAGCCAGTCTTGACCTGCTCCTGGACTGGGGTCGTGCTGTTGGACTGGCAGAATTGGCTTTGGAGCACACACACACCTTATCTTCAGCCATCAATCTGCTGGCTACACCTAGAAAGACCTTACTGCAGGTAAAAACATAACATACACATTTCTGAAGAGTTATGGTAATCCATCTTTAAATCATCCCTGACATGAGAAACAGTTGACGGGATTTCAGAAGACTGGGTGGCAGGAATTAACTCCCAAAGAAGTTATGTTTGTCCTACTTTTGTAGTCCATTCCAAGCTGACCTTTATTTTGAAATACAATTAGGTTCAACRCATAAAAAACAGGACAAACTCCAAAAAAATGGTTGTTTCACAAAACATTTAGGCTGCAGCGACTGGAACTACTAAAACTCAAAAACCAGCAAGGAGCATGACAAGAACAGACAATCTGACAATGAGCCAAAGAGAGCTGGGATTATAGATAATGGGGTTCCCTAATGTCAAATGAAAGATGGGTAAGCTAATTACAAATAAAACACAGCTGTGATTACAGCTGGGAATAAGAACTGCTGAGAATGYTAAATGGAAACACAGGAAAATAAACTCATCTAACAAAACTGAGAAAGAAAGTCTAATCCGTTACAGTACCCCTCCCCTTTTGGTCAGCTCTTGATGCCCTATAAAAAACT